AGAGAGAGGGGGAGGGAAGGAGGAAAGAAGGAAGGAAGGAAGGAAGGAAGGAAGGAAGGAAGGAAGGAAGGAAGGAAGGAAGGAAGGAAGGAAGGCAGTAGAAGCGTGAACCCTCACAGAAGTCATATCGGGCATCCAAATAGCAGTTTGGACTTAGTGTAATTTATTCTTTTTGGCCATGGTTATTCTGGGTTTCCATCAGTCCTACACAGTTCCTGCCCAAACATATTTTTTTTTTTTTTTTTTTTTAAAAAAAAGGACTCAGCTGGCATTAAACAATACCGGAGGCAAAAAGCCAGGCTATATTTAGTAATAAATACACCCAACTGTGGGGTTGTTCCCTGATGCCACTTAGAGTGATGCTCATCAAACAGCGTCACACCTGCTCCTACAGGCACACGGGGGGGGGGGGGGGGGGGGGGGGGGGGGGGGGGGGGGGGGGGGGGGGGGGGGGGAGGCGGGGAGATGGGGGGGTGTGGAGGGGAAGGGGAAGAGTCTCCTATCACAAAGGATGCTGTTGCTGCAAGCAGGGGCCGCGTGTCTTTATCATCACCTCCTTCCACGTGCTCCTGCAGACCTGATTCCTTTAGAGAAGTTTGTTATGAACAGTGACAGAAGCTGGGTGGTCTGGTGGCACACGGAAGATGGACAGGTCCCTAGACGAGGCTGGGACACCGTGGGTCAGGGACCTTTTCTGAGATCAGTGGATACATTGCGAGGCCGTTTTTGGACTTCTGGCTTCTTTGTTGTGGTGGTTGATGTCAACTTGACAAAATCCCAAGAGACGTGGCCCCCCGAGCATGCCCGAGAGGGTTTTCTTGGTCGGGTTAAGTGAAACCGGAAGGACCCTTGCTCTCAGAGCGGGCGGCGTGCTTCACGGCCTTCGTCCTGAACTAGATGGAAAGGAGAGAGGCAGCAGAGTGTCACACCTGCACTAACACCCTGCTGGCTGCTCCTGACTGGGGGCACTGTGACCAGGTCCCTCGAGTTCCCCCCGGGCTATGCTGGACTCTGGCCTGGAACTGCGAGCCGAAGGAACCCTTTCTCCCCGAAGTGGCTTTTGTCGACGAAGTTGATCACGGCTACAGGAAGGGAGATGGAGGCAGTTCTGCCCTTTTGTGCTGCCATATACTTTCCAAGCGCCATCGTATTCCCTGGGCTGAAGCCAAGCAGGTTCTGTGTCATGTGTCAACGCTTGCTCAGGGCTGGCGGTTACAGAGGCCGCCGTGTGGGGATGGCTTCTGCAATGCAGAGAAGAAGAATCTGGAGTGATTCTGACCAGAACCAAGGACGCGGTAGCTATGTTTTATTCTCTTTTTTAAGTTACATTTATTTATGGAGTGTGTGCAGGTCGGATGACAGTGTGCAGGATCCTGCTCTCCTTCCACTATGCAGGTCCTAGGGCTCAGACTTGCGTGGTCAGGCTTGGCAGCAGGCGCCAGTCTGGTCCGTGTTGTTCTCGTAGAAGAAGCCGGCGTGCCTCAGATTCCTCTCCACCAGGAGCCGTTTTGATTACAGTATCATTATACAGAACAACACGACAAGCCCCAAATTACAGTCTCCTACCAATTACAGGATAAACTTAATTTGACGTATCTTTTGTTTCTCCCCACCCCCACCCCTATAGATTGCAGGACAATTAATGCTCGGGAGCCTTGGTTAAAAAGCACTGGGAAAATTCAGAAATCGGCCTGTTTTAAATAGGCCACTTGCACAGCGGAGAACCGTGGCGTTCACGCAGCAAACCCTTATGTGAAAGTCAGAAGTCCGCCCAGGAGGGCCATTCAAGCCTGGTTTTGTGTTTACAGGAGTCTGCTGTTCCCTGGAGACCTGGACTGTGGCTTTGGGCTTGAAGGCTAAGTGAGCCGGACTACTTCCTCTTCGTGTCCGTATCACGTTTTCAAACAGAGGCGACTGCGCAGGATATGCCAGAGCTGGGCAGGATAAAACTGTCTCTTCCGGGTTCCTAAAGACCCCCGGCTTCTTGCCCCACACTGTCTGTCAGCTTACAGAGAAGGAGGAAGGCAAAGCCAGAGGTGAGCAGCTTTGGTCCGGCACTGGCTTGACTGAGGCATCCCAATGCATCCGCCTTGGGATGAGTCACCCACGCAGAGGTTTGCCTTCGTTCTCAGAGCCGTCACGTGACCACAGTCAAGTCCTACAACGTCCTTGTCACTTGTCCATGAAGGCAGACTCCTGCACCCTTCGGCCGTCACGCCTCCCTCTCTCCCAGGTTTTCAGTCCTAGGCAGCCATCAAGCTCCCTTCCGCGTTTACGGCTTCACTTGCTCAGGACATTTCATGCGAACGGATTATATAAACCATGCCTCCTTTCACTTAGCAGCATGTCTTAGCCGTCCTTCCCTGCTGTATGTTTTATTACTTCCTTCCTTTTATCAGCAAATATCATTTCTAGGGTACAAAACAGTGGACTCCCTTACCGAGGTTTCCTTTACTCAGTTTTAGTTACTAGAGGTTAGCCATAGTACAAAATAACTAATGAAAAATTCCAGAAATGAGCAATTCATGAGTTCATTTTTAAAAATTTTTTATTATTTTGTGTATGTGGGTATTTTGCCTGCTTATATGTCTGAATACCACACATGTGAGTGTCCTTGTAGTCAGAAGAGGGCAATCAGATCCCTTAGGACTCGAGTCAGAAGAAGACTGTAAGTCACCATGTGGGTGCTGGGACTTGAACCTGGGTCCTCTGGAAGAATAGCCAGTGCTCTTAACTGCTGAGCCATCTCTCCATCCCCAATTCATGAGTTTAAAGTTGCATATCTTCTTTGTCATGTGATGACATCTCATGGCATCCAGCTCCATTTGGCCTAGGATACGAATCTTTTCTTTGCTCAGAGTACCCACGCAGTACATACTACCTGCTCATTAGGCATCATTAGATGTCTCGTTGTCTGATCCACCATCATGGTATTGCACTGTTCATGTTTTACTTAATGGCACTAAGGTGCTGCTGGCCCAGATAAGCCAAGGAGAAACAGACAACCTTGATGAGAAAAGAGGTCCCTGACTTAATAGGAACAGAACTGTGAGCTGAGTTTGCTAAAATCTGGAGCAGGACAGGAAGAATGTTAGACTGGACCATGCAAGTTTCTAGGTGCACACTGGGTCTTAGTTAGGGTTTCTGTTATGGAGATAAAGCAACTTTGGGGAGGAAAGGCTTTATTCCATGTCACACTTTCAGGTAACAGTCCATCAGAGGGCGAAGTCAGGGCAGGAACATGGAGGCAGGAACTGAAGTGGAAGCCATGGAGGAACTCTGTTTACAGCGGCTTTCTTTCTTCTTTTTAGCTTGTTTTGATTCCTCCCTCCCTCCCTCCCTCTCCCTCCCTCCCTCCCTCCCTCCCTTTCTTGAGACAATGAGAAGATGACATTGGGTGGGTAGGGAGGGAGGTGGGGGACCCACCTTCTTATACCACCCAAGACCACCTGTCCAGGGGTGGCACCGCCCACAGTGAGCTGGGCCCTCCCACATCAGTTATCAATGGAGAACGTTGCCCACAGGCCGTCGAGTGGGTTCTCAGTTGAGGTTTCTTCTTCTAAAATGATGCTAGCTTGTGTCCTGTTGATAAAACGCTAGCTGGCACACTGGAGATCTTGAACTGCATCCTCTGCCAACACACATTTTATTTAGTCATTCAGGTTTTGATGACTTTTTTTTTTTAACCCCTTGGGCTTTGGGGAATAATAGTACTAAGACTATTTGTATATATGCTTTTGTGTGAGCATATGTTGTCCTTTCTCTCTGAATGGGATTTTTAAAGTTATGTGTATTTAAGGCATATGAATGCTGTTTGTACAGGAAAAGCTCTAGTCACATCAAATGAAGACAGCCCTTGGAATATCAGTGGATTTTACATGCATATATTGAAATATCACACTGAGCCCCAACTAGTCTGTACAGTCGGTCTGTTTTAGTCTAAAAAGGGTGATCCCACCCAGAGAAACACATGTACCATAACAAACACAGAAGACGATTTGCGGAAGTCAGTTCATCTATCGCTTTGTTCAGCAACTTGCTTTTCCACATGACGAAACATCACAGCAGAATGGTGATGATTCCGCTCGGCCACGGCCAGCCCCAGGCCTCTCACCACGTGGCTCAGATTCAAACCCCGGCTCTGTCACTTACTACACAATCTTTAAGTTATTGAACTGTTTTCAATCCTTAAAATTCAAATGTAACCCCTACCTAATCTCTTCGGGCTAGGAGAACTTAGAGCGTAAAGAAACTTGTAAAGCGCTTTCCTCAGCGTGTGGAGGGTAGCGAGGCCGCTCTGTGGGCCCGGCCGGTCTCCTTGCTGCTTTGGGTCGACCCACCAAGCCACCCTGTGACACACTGTGCGGTTGTACAGGACTATTCCCCAGAGACAAAGCGTCACCATCCTCGGGAGTCCAGCTGTGCTTGCTTGCCAAAGATCATCACAGCTGGCCTTGTTGACTCTTGACTTCTCTCTTGGAAGGAGGTGGTAGGGAGGACCAGGGGACCCTCACGTGAGTGTCCAGTCCTCCCTTCCAATCAGCTGTATGTAATTCTGACTTCATTTTGAGTGGCTCTCTCTGGGAGTGCCTAGAGTATGTAGTGGAGAAGGATGGGGCGTGGGTTCTATGTACTCAGCCAGGGGAAGACGTCATCCCTGCTGGGTGCAGCCCTACCTTCCGGTGTGGCTGCTTGGAGATCACCTATGTTTCTGCCCCTAACCTCTCACCCACTGCTCTGTAGCCCAACAGACTCATTGGTTTTCCAGGGGTGAAATCTGGTGGAAGTGAACATTGGGTTGTCTTTGGGGCCTTAGGAGGAGGGATGTGTGTTGTTTCTCTTTCCCCCAAGGAAGGAATTTTAGCAATATATGCACGCACACCCTTGATCTATAGGTACCTATTCCCCCCCCCCCCCCGCCGCTGCCACCCCCAAATGCCGTATTTCTTTCAGCGGAATTAGGTAGAGATTTTCAGTCTTGATAGAGACTGCAGAGGCCGTTACTAATTTTAGCCGTTCACTTGCAGTATGTGTGCAGGGCTCTTTGTTGTCTCAGGAGCATCGGCCCCATGCTGCTTCTGTAAGTTTTTGGTGAGAAATGATTTGGCTCAGTCAAGGTGTATGCAGGAGAAAGGGAGATGTGGGAGGGAGGTTATGGAAGTCTGGGCAGCAGACAGACCCTGGCTGGATGCGACCATGACTTACGGCATCTCTTTCAGGGGCTTTCAAATCGCATTAGCTTCTAGCCATCACCGACTTGATACCCAATGTCAGAATGGCCAAGAGCGCTTCTGCTGTGCTTAAGTCCCAGGGAGTCAATGTTTACAGCACTCAATGTGACTTGTCACCTACCTCCCCGGGTGGGTCCACCTCCTCTCTATAGCCCCTGGCTCTCCCTGTCTCAGAGTCTGAGGTAAGTCCCCTGGGCTCCCTGGAGCCGACTACCAGACACGATCCTGGCTGTTCTCCGGGAATCTGCAGCCCACCGTCTCGTTCCAGACCTTGCAATGGACTCACTAGAGAAACTTAAAAAGGAACTCCATGGCCTGAATCCCACACTGGGAAATTGAGTGGAAGATTCAGGGGAGGGGTTGGATTATAAAGGGGTGACACTGGTCCTGTGCAGGTGAGCAGCATCCTGGTTCAGATGGCCAGTGGGTGGCAGAGCAGGATGACAGGAACCACCTCAGCCTAGTTCTTGCCTGCTAATGTGATGCTCCCTCCATATTTCCAGGGCATTGGCTCTAGGCCCATTGACGTACAAAAGTCTAGGTGCTCTAGCACCTTCCACAAAGTGACTTAGTGTTTGCATATACTGCACACATGTCCTTTGTATACTTAAAAACATCTCCGCATTACTTCTAATACTGGATGCAGTGAAAATCTATGTGAATACTTGGTATATGATTCTCTTTAGAGAATAACGATGAGAAAAGAAGTTTGAGCATGATCAATGTGGATTCCCACCCCCCAACATGAACACTCATGGTTTGTAGCATCAGGAGAAGTGAGCCCGCAGACACAGGGGGCTGACTGCTATGATTTCTGCTTCCAGGTTTTCCAGCCTGAACCTTTCCGACTGTCAAGAATGCATTCCTCAATATGACAGTGTGGCTGTGTGTGCTGGGTTTTGGTTTTCTAAATTTGGAAAGTATGCCTTAATCTTTGATTAGACTTATGCTTAGGAAGTATAAATGGCTTGGAAAATAAAAACCTCCTAAAATCCAAGAGACCATGAAAGAAAAATGATGTCACGGGTCACTCTTTCAGTACAAAGCAGAAGGTTGGGAAATGTGGCACTAAACCTCCCCAGTGGGGACCTGTGTGACTGTTGGGATCCTAGCTGTCTGGTTCACCCAGGGTCTGGCCAATGGGAGTGACATTGGTGACATTGGCAGGAGTGGACCTGCCATTCTAGGGTCTCACACACTGACAAGATGTGGGGCTCTGAGTTAAGCTCTGGGGACACGGTAGAGGCTCAGTGTCCTCCCCATGATGGAGGCTTCCAGGTCTTGAGGGTGGACCTGGCCGATAGGCTCCTCAGAGAAGAGAAGAGAAGTAGAGTGTGAGGTCAAGGACGCATTACCCAAGGGAACAAGGAAACAGGTCCTTTAACACAACGATCCCCACACTGGTGACCTGTGGCTGGCAAAGGTCAGAACTACCTGCTTGCTCACTCCTGTCTCCTAGGAACATCAGGAACGATAACCAATCAAAATGTTTCCTTCTGTAGTCCCAGTGGCCTCCAAAGATGGCAACATCAAAGCCCTGAATCTGTTACTTATCCTGGATCCTGCAGTGGATCCAATATTGTCACAACAGTCTTCTTTAAAGGGAACCAGGAGGGTCAGAATTAGTGAGAAAGAGATGTGACTTGAGAAACAGAGGTCAGAGTGCTATGGTCACAAACTAAGGGATGCATGAGGCTCCTTCCCAGTTGGACAAAATAAAGAAATAGTTTTTGTTCTGGAGTTTCTAGAAAGAACCAGAGCGGTTGCACCTTGGTGTCTGCCCTGTGAGGTTGATTTTGAGCTTCTGAATGTCAGTAAAACTCCTGACTCTAGTCTTCACAGCACCATTTCTATTTTGTTTTCAAAAAATAGAATAGTTTTTTTAAAAAATTAATACTTGAATATGGTCCACATTTTGAAAGAGAAAAATGTTATGGTTCAGCTCTTAAACGTCTCCCAAAGGCCCTTGTATTTTAGGAATGGTTGTAAGTCCATGACCCTGTCGGGAAACTTTAGGAAGTGAGGGCTGCTGGAAGTAGGGACCCGCCTGCAGGGTATGGTGGTGAAATGGTGGTACAGAAGTTATGGAAGTAACCAACCACTCTCTG